CAATTAAGGTATGGTCATCTTTATCCATGGGATGCTTTCTTCCATGGAGCCCTTAAACTCTTCAATTTCAAAGTAGGAAAAGTCTCTAAGGACCTATGGTTTTCTTCAAATCATTGATTCTTCCTGAAATCGTTTTCAATGATTTAATTATTGTTTTAAAGATGTTTTAATGATAGATTCACCAAGAATCCATGATGTCGTCCTAACCCTAAATTTATGACTCCAATGTGGGTGAACTGTAGTAAGGTCAATTGTATGGAATTATATTGTTGTAATGTATCTCCTTTGATTATTATATTATCTACGTTGAATGTATTAACCCTAAATTGATTGCAAGAATCGGATCCCTGATCCAAGAAGGGTAAGACATGGGAATTATGTCAAATTCTGGCCTTTATGTATGCATGCTTTATGAAGATGATTGTGGACTAGTTATTGTGTTAATTGAGAGTTCATTCTCATAGAAACACAATGATCATGATGTGAAAGTCCTTGTCACTATTTGACGATTCTAAGGCTAAAAGTCCATTCTCACCTATTGAATCAATGAGTTATTTTGTGAATTGTGTTAGGTGATGGGTTTAGACCGTCCTTCATATGTATAAATGTAATTCAAGATGTAACATGTAATTATGGGAAGTAATTCTTAGCACCGAGTGGATAATGAATATGAAGATGGAAATACACCTGCTAGAAAGGGTGGGTTTCTAGTAGCAATATCCGTATCCCTTAACTATATGCCCACATAGGTATTTAGCTAGTGGATCCACCTAAAAGCTAATGCATTTAGTTCTACCTTAGGAAAGTAGGACACCTCTTTTCGGTGTGGGGCATGACATCAGATTCCATGTTTATCTCACATGGTCTATGTCGGTTAAGGCTTATTCCCAAAGTAATAATGAAGGTAAAGTATTAACTATGTTTTCTTAAGAAGTTTTACTTAGCATGGGTAGGGTTATGGGACTTTACTTATGCGTGGGACAAGTAGACTATGAGAGTATTCATAGTGGGTTCCTATTATGATGTGATGACTTCTACATTGATTACGCTTACGACTTATGCTTTTATACCTAGTTTTCATTATGGTTTTTAAACTTCATAAATTGCATTTTCTTCAACTAAATTGTCCCTTTTTTCATATTTTCATGATTTTGTGCATGATTATCATAGTACATTAATTGTGCTAACCCATATTTCTTCTACTCTTTTCACAAAGTGTAGGTTCCGGTGTGTGAGGTGATTGTCTCTTCTAGTTCAAGCTTGGATTTATTGATCATCAAGCTTGTGGTATATCCTCATGGATCCGAGTACAATTAACTTTATTGTTGTTTCACTTCCTTAGTTTTATTAGACATTTTAATATCTATTGTAAGGGTTGTGACCCTATTATCTTGAGACTCCGATTGTAGTAGATCACTTATTGAGACTATGTCTAGACTTCCGCTTTACTTTTATAAAGATTTTCTTAAAGACTTGAAATTGTGTTTTATTCTTTATTATTTTATACTTTTGTGATGATGATAAGCTAAGTGGCTTACTTGGGGCCTTTCGTGGTTCCATGTGACATGTTACGTCTAGGGGTGTACCATTGGGTTGTGACATTAATTAATTAGGAAAAGGCCAAAATACCCGTGACCTTAACTGCTGCCTCACCACACTAGATTCAAGACTGACGGACTGTGGACCGACCAATGGTGCATCCTGCACACTCGTCAGTGAGTTTAGAGTGTTTGACCTGGACCTACAACTCCTGGACCATGAGGCCTGGGCCCATCAATGGTTCATGGGTCCAGTCGTTATTCCTTCTTGGACAATATTTTGGTGGCCCTTCCACGGACCAACCTATGGTTTGTGGTTCAACCCACCGGCCGTGGTTTTCCCTCATGGAGGCCTTCGTGGATGGCACCTGAAAGTTCTAGTAAAAATGCTATTATGCCCTTTTACGAATCCGGGGTGTTGAAATATATCCCCTTTGGGATCATTCGTCCTTGAATGAGATTCAAACTGGTTCTAAGATAGTAGATGTAATTCCCCGGAATCTAATTGGAAAAACTAGGGCTAAGTATGAGGGTAACAAGCCAAGGAAGAGGGCAAGAGCCAAGGGAGAGGGCTAAGGCTGCCGAACTTTCCCTATGAAATGCCCACCTAAACACGAGAGGCTTCACGGCTCGTGTGACAACTCGTGGTGATAAGGTAGTGGATCCCAAGGCTGCCTAAGTTGGCCTCCTCCACACGAGCCACTTCACGGCTCGTGAAGGATTAGACGGATCGTGGGAGAGCTCGTGAAGCTGAATTAGTTTTTAGGGGTTATAGGAGTGGCTGCCTAGCCACTGGTTGGTAACAACGAGAGAGACCACAACTCGTGATAGGCACCACGCCTCGTGGAGCCCTTCATGAAGGAAGGCAGTGCACTGCCAAGTTTAGGGTAAAATGGGACTTTTTGATTTTAATTAGAATAAAGCTGGGTCATTTTACCCAAGCCTAGTACATCTATATAAGTGATTTTAACCCTTGAAACTCACCATTGAAGTCATTATTTCCAAAACCACAAAAGAAATCCCAAAGTTCTTCTCTCAAATATTTCTCTCTCTAGAACTTGAAGAAGAAGGAGTTTGGAGCTAGGTTCAAGGTCAAGTCTTCAATCTTCAATAATTTGTGGGCATTGTGATCAAGGTATGATAAGTTTTCATCCATGGAGTCCCAATGATTCCCCAATTTAAAGGATGAAATTCCCCAATTTGAGTTAAGGTTTCTTCCAATATTGTGGGTATTGAGAAATGTTGATCAAATTTAGTGGATTATGATTTTTTATGCTTGAATAGAGTTGATTCAATGATTTTAGTATGAAATTACATGTACCCATGTCTAACCCATGATTCTAAGATGAATGTGATATTGATGGGTTTTACTCCATGAAAGGGGAAATTGAGGATTTAGATGTATTCATATAGGATTGATATGGTATATTATAGATTGCTTCAGAGTGAAGCATATAGACATAGATTTCTTGAGAGTGAAGTATATAGACATGGAGACTTATGATTATTAGGGCTTGAGAGTAAAGCTTATATGATGATTTATGAATAATATTTCTTTAATATTGAAGCTTATGAGATGATTATGATATTGAATTTCTTGAGAGTGAAGCATATAGAATGACTATGAGATATAGTTCTTTGAGAGTAAAGCTTTTGTTTCCAATTGTTGATTATTGATGTAATTGTTGTGAAATATATGGTTCCCACATTAATTTCTTATGTTATGAATGTGAAAGGCTTTCTCACATTGAATGATTTTATGTTAAAAGGATTGCTCACCTAAAATGAATATAGACTAAAGACTAAAATTGATGAGGCAAGAGGTGAATACCCATGACCTCTAGATGAGTAGGATTTAGGTGATTTCCCATATTCTTTAGAGAAGAGTAAGAGGCGACTACCCTTATTCCCTAATGTTGGACATGGATAGAAGTACCCATTATTCCTTAATGAAAAGATGTGGAGGCGAATACTCGTATCTTATAATGAAAAGATGTGGAGGCGAGTACCCATATCTTATAATAAAAGATGTTGAGGCGAATACCTGTATCATATAATGAAATTATGTGGAGTGAATACCCGTGTCATATAATAATTGGGCATGGAGGTGAATACCTATGATCCCATAAAATAGATATGGAGGTGAATACCTGTGACCATATAATCAAGGCAAGAGGCGACTACCCATTAGCCTTTAAGTAAGGCAAGAGATGACTACTCATGAGCCTTTATGAGAAGGGAAGGAGGTTATTTCCTCATGTCTATAAAAGATAAGTTAAAGATGAGAATGAGAGATGATAAGCTTGAAGATGGCCCAAGGTTGTCTACTATGATGAGTGAGACTAGTGGAGGTTACCCATATCTTGGTTAAGTATTCTTTGAGGTTACCTCAAGGAAGTATCATAAGTATGTTTTACTATGAGATTTTCTTGTATGATGAATGACTAGCTTGGATTGTTGCTAGAGTTTCCTTCCTTGCGATGTATTACTAGATGTGGATGACCCAAGTCTTGACTAAGGATAAGTTGAGTCCACTTCAAGAATTGATCCTCTTATGTTGATATAATATGATGATTTATGTGCATTGATTATGCCTATGACTTATGTTGATATCTCCTATGCTTATGGCTTATGTCTTAGGTTGACTAATGTTGATGTTATGCCTATATTGATGTTTATGTTGGCTATCATATTTACTACATTTTTGTACTAACACATACTCTTGCCTACATTTCTTATCAAAATGTAGGGTCTGGCCATATTGACTCTCCTCCCCGTGGCTAGGATCTTAGTAGAAGCAAGTATTGAAGATTGGTGAGTCCACATATCATTCGAGGAGATAGCCACCATTTGTCTTATATTCTCTCATTTTATGTTCTGAACTATTGTTTGGGATGTGTCCCAAGGATATTCATGTTTGAGATGGTTTGAGACAAAGTGTAATACACTTCCGCTTCATTTATAAAATACTTTGATTATGTTGAAAATATTTTAAATTTCCGCTCATATCTATTATCTTATGTTATGAAAGCTAAGTGGCTTATATGAGGCCTCTCGGGGTCTTGTATGCCATGTTACATATAGGGTACATGGGTCGTGAAAATAGGAGAGGAACTAACAACCCAATCTACAATGCAACTTCATAAAAATGCATCTAACCAAGGAGGAACTATCGACTCCAACCTAGGACGTTCTCAAAATATCATAAGAGGGGTGAAACTAAGTCTAACAACCCATCATTCATGCAATTCAGAAATAATGGAGGAAACATCAACTCCAAGCTAAACATACTCAATGCATCATAAGGAAGTAGGAACTACATCTAGAAACCCAAGATCCATGAAATTTCAAATTTTCTCTTGTTCAAGGAGGAACTACTTTCTCAAAGCTAAAAGCATGTTCAACATAATCTTATGGAGCCTATATGCGATTCACTTTCAAAAAGCATAGCTAAAGGTTTAGGACTTGGTCCAACTCCTTCTGCTCTATGGGGTAGTAGATCTTTCTTAGAGAACATTGATGAAGAGGATTCATCTAATGAAATTGTACAAAGGTTAGAACAGGAGATAAATGAATTGAAGGCGAAACAAAATGAAGAAATTAATATGATGAAACAAAATCAGGATAATATGCAATTAGAATTACTCCAAATGCGACAATTCATGCACAAACATGCTCCTAATGAATCCATGCCTCAAAATATCAATGGCACCTCAAGTGGATAGGTAACTTGATTCCATAAGTTTTAGACATTATTTTTTAATAAAATTTAATCATATAAAAGTATTTTTAACTATTGTGTTAATATTTATCAGGTCCACGAAGCTGATAGTGGCCATGGACAAATAACACAAACATGAGGGATACCTATTGTTGCTGAAAATACTCAAACTTCTCATGGTATTACTCATATTTATCCTTCGATGCGACTGTTTGAGTTACTATTTGAGTCCAAATTCATCTTGATTCTTGCTCGTCTGTGATGTGTAGTTAGTTTTATCTATAGGTTCTATTTTTATAGCTGAGTGTTAATGATCTGATTACTTGAACTAATCCATATACACCTCATCCCTTCTTCTCTATGTTTTTTATTATCTACATATCATCGATTTTGCATTTTCTTATTGAGATAGCTCTTGTCGATGCTTTGCCAGCCCTTGAATTTTATCCTGGATTCATCTACATTGTTTCTAACCCCTGAAATGTAGTTAGTTTTATCTATAACATCTGTTGGTGTACCTGAATATTAATTGTCTGATTACTCGAATTAGTCCTCTAATCATCCAATGAATATATTTACTTCTTGAGAACATGAGCCTTCTTCAACGAAACAACTTTTTTACGTTCTGTTTTTCAATAAGAATACTTTAAATAAAAAGATAACTACCATTAATGAAACAGTTGAAAAGGTTTGCTTTCTGAACAATTTCTGAACTTGAAAGATCTGGATCAAATTACCAGCTCATTGTTGTTCTCCTATAAAGTATAAAGTAGCATGCACAAGGATGAGGGACTTACATAATAGCACTGTATCCTCTGCTTCAGCAGTTTTCCCTAGTTCCTTCGCTGTGCAATCGTTAGTCTTACTTGATAAGACAATCATGATTTGTATAACTTGAAGTAGTATTCACAAGAGAGAAGCTATGACGAGCAAAGACATACAAGCAGAGAAGAAATTAAGCCCAAAATGACATATACCAAAGTTACCCAACAACATAGAGCACACCTCTTTCTGTTGCTATCATTTTCTGGCCTGCTGCCTGTTTTTATTGGTTTTGTTGGTATAGTTGCATCTATAGGTTTTGTTGGTATTGTTGCAGCCCTTGAAGTGTAGTTAGTTTATCTATATGTTTTGTTTGGTATAGTTTGTCATATTAGTGGTCTGATTACTGAAGCTACATTATGCACTAATTTTCTCCTTAGGTGTATTAACTTTCTGTTGGCATCATTCTCTGGCCTGCTGCCTGTTTGTATTGGTGGGATTTTTGATTATCTACATATCATCGATTTTGCATTTTCCAATTAAGATAACTCTTGTCGATGCTTTGCCTGCCCTTGAATTTCATCCTGGATTCATCTACATTGTTGCTAGCCCCTGAAATGTAGTTAGTTTTATCTATAGCTTCTGTTGGTATAGCTGAATATTAGTTGTCTGATTACTCTAACTAGTCCTCTAATTATCCAATGAATATATTTACTTCTTGAGAACGGAAGCCGTCTTCAACGAAACAACTTTTTTTACGTTCTGTTTTTTAATAAGAACACTTTAAATAAAAAGATAACTACCATTAACGAAACAATTGAAAAGGTTTCCTTTTTGAACAATTTCTGAACTTGAAAGATCTGGATCAAATTACCAGCTCATTTTCGTTCTCCTGTAAAGTATAAAGTAGCATGCACAAGGATGAGGGACTTACATAACAACAATGTATCCTCTGCTTCAGCAGTTTGCTCTAGTTCCTTCGCTATCCAATCGTTAGTCTTACCTGATAGAAACAATGGGACTCAATGAGACTTATCTACAAGTTAGAAGGAATGTTCTCAGCTTCTTATGATGAAAGCACTTCCGTGCTGGTTGAATAGAAACAGAGACAAGTCTCCTCTACTTCTCATTTTGGATCCAATTCTGCTTCTTTCACCGCTAGAGTCTTCATACCACAGTTCTTGTCCAAAGTATCCTTTGATCCATCACAACCTCTTTTGTTTTGTATTGCAAAGCCAATCACACCATTGAGAAATGTTACATGCTACATTATTATCTTTCTCATTTGAAGTTCACAGATTATACTGGTGACCCTAAGAATACTGGTCTAAGGAAGACAACAGCACATGCTGAATTTGAAACTTCTGGTCTTGGTCATACAGGTGCACAATCTGATGTTCTGGTTTATCTCGTGTTTCTAACCTGCCAGTCAATGTTTCAAGTCTGACTAAAGATCAGTCCTTCTACATACTGTCCCACTTGCAGCACTCTCATCTTTCACCACACACTAATCCTCATAGCATCTGCTAACTTTACAGGTAAAATCTTGACTGATAATGTTTTGTTCAAAACTTATTTACTTAATAAGATTAGTGATACCATTTGGACTATAGATTCTGGAGCATCAGATCACGACATCGATCTGACCTTTCTTTACTCTTCAATGTTAAAACATTACCTTTTCCTTGTCTTGTTTCACTTCTAAATGGATACAAAGGTAAAGTCTCTAACATTGTCTCCTTAACACTGTTTCCTGGTTTTTCTTGTACAATGTATTCTTTCACCTAGAAGATCTACTAAGACCTCTCATCAACTTGTTACCTCCAGTAGCATCTTTGTAATGCTTTTCAGTCTGTTGATTGCTCTCATTCTGAATCATCTAGTCTAAACCCTTAGTCTGCATCATGTTTTTGAACCCTGCACTTACACTAAAGCTGCTTCTGAGCCTGAGTTTCACGCTATGAGTAAGGAGTTTAAGGCATTAGCTGCAAATGACACTTGGTCTATTGTGGGGTTACCCAGCGGTAAGAAACCTTAAATAGGTTTTAAGTGTTCAATACTGATGTAAATTAGATCGGTTGTCATCCCCTATTGAACAGGGGTTTTGAGACATAAATTAATGTATGTGTGTGTATGTATATTTATTGTACATTCAGCAGGCCTGCATTACTGTGGTATATTTTGTATCTTTCCAGTCTGCTAAGTTGTTACCTCTTTTTATTGATTGATATGGGGCAGATTGCTTCAGGTGGAATTCCTCTCATAGTTTGTCCTCTGAACTGTTTTTCATAGTTTGCTACTCTGGCTGTTAATAAGCTTCCGTTCTTGCATTGTTTGTTGCTCATGCAATGAATGTGCTTCTGCTTTTTCATTATTTGTTGTCTAGGTTGTGAATATCTTCATACTGAATTGTCTTCTGCATACCATGGATTTTGCATTTTCCAATTGAGATAATGATGTTGATGCATTGCCAGCCCTTGAATTTTATCCCAAAGTCATCAGCATAGGTTCCAGCCCCTGTAGTATAGTTAGTTGGATCTTTGAGTTGTTTTCTATGAGATGATATAATTCACTCTTTCTTATGTTATATGGATTTGAATTGGTACTTTGTTACTGCTAAATGTATCTGTATCAATAAGGGGAGAAACTAGGGTCATTGGTATTTGCACATAGCTTTTTTTATGTAACATTTGGTCTAGTAAATATTTCGTTCAAGTATGAGAACTTGGCCTATCTGGTAAAGTTTTCATCAATTGGATTTCATCTTCTGACACATTTATTTTATTATTTCAGGTCATGCGGTATGACGTTCAAAAATTTTGCCTAAGAAATATTTCAATAGAATGAACCATTGTGGAAATTCTTTGAAGACACTATTTTATTGGATTGATTATATAATGATAATAGATATTTCGTTAATATAAGTTTAGTTTTAAAGTTATGATACTATAGTTTGGATTAATACTTCATTTTGCTTAGATTTGATGAGATATATTATGTTCTATGAATTATATTATATATTTTTTAGCATTTGACAAACATCATTGCATCTAATAGGCTTTCTTCTGATTAGAATTTTGTTGGATTTATGAGTTATAAACTTATCAGTAGAAGTGCGAACAAGATAATTTTATGAATGGATGTAGTCATTATTTATTCTGGCTAACCAATTGGTCGTTAAAGTTTGTGACTTTTAGCGTCAAACTAAGTGATTTTTCTAGCCAAAAAAAATGGACGGTAAATGGGGGAAATTAAGATGTTTACAAAAGGATATTCTAGCCTTTATATTTGCCACCAAACTATTGTCGTTAAAGATATGAGCTTTTAGCGGCAATTTTATCGAATTTACCAGCTATAAAGATGTATGCTACATGAACATGATTGTCGTTTTAAATTTGATTTAACAACTATTTTAATTGCCACTACAACTAATGTGTTTTAGCGGCAATTTAGTAGGATTTACCAGCTATAAAAATAGACACTACACAAGTATAACTAACTGTTATTATTTGATTTAACAACCATATAAATTGCCGCAAGCAATTGCCACTAGAACAAATGTGTTTTAGCGGCAAGTTAGTTGGTTTTACTGGCCATAAAATTGGACGCTACATGAGAATAACTAACTGCTTTGGATTGGATTTAGTAGCCTTTTTAATTGCCGCAACAAATTGCCACTAAATCAAATGAGTTTTAGCAGCAAAAGAGCTTGGCTTTACCATCTTTTGTCCAAATGACCGCAAAAGCCTTTGCCGACCCCTGATACAGCGGCCAAAGATCATTGGCTAGTAAAGGCTTTAGCGGCCATACTTATGGCTGCTAATGACATTTTTAATTGTCGCTATATCCTTTTTTTGTTGTAGTGTCATTTGGCAAATCTAGCTCGTAAGTAAACTTACCAACACGCCTCAAAATTTGATATGGGCCATCATATTGGGGACTAAGCTTTCGCTTCTTACAAAACCTCATTACACCCTTCATGGGGGAGATTTTCAAGTAAACCCAATCATTAACATCAAACTCTAGATCCCTTCTTCTTTCATCGGCATATGACTTTTGCCGACTTTGAGCTATTTTCAACCTTTCTCTAATAAGTCAAACTTTCTCTATGACCTCATGTACCAATTCGGGACCTATTAGGGAAACTTCACCCACCTCAAACAAACCTATGAGAGATCTACACCTCCTACAATATAAGCCTTAAATGGAGCCATAACAATACTCGAGTGATAGCTATTGTTATAAGCAAACTCAATAAATGGTATATGTTTATCCCAATTACTCTTAAAATTAATCACACAAGCTCTGAACATATCTTCCAGAGTTTGGATATTACGCTCCGCTTGCCCATTGGTTTTGGGATTAAAGTCCGTACTAATTTTAACACGAGTACCAAGACCCTTTGGAATGACTTCCAAAAATGATTAGTGAATTACGTACCACGATTGGAAATAATGGACAAAGGCACTCCATGCAACCTTACCATTTCTGTCAAGTACATCTTGGCGTAGTCCTCCGACGAGAAAGAAACCTTAATAGGAAGAAAATGAGCCGCTTTCGTCATCCGATCTACTATCTCCCAAATAGAGTCATGTTGTCACCGGGTGCGAGGCAAACCAACAATAAAGTCCATATTCAAATCTTCCCACTTCCAAGTAAGAATGCTAATATCTTGGGACAAACCTCCTGATTTATGATGCTCAACCTTTACTTGTTGGCAATTTAGATACTTAGCCACAAATCTCGCAATATCTTTCTTCATCCCATTCAACCAATAGACCTCCGGTAAATCACGGTACATCTTGGTGTCTCCTGGGTGACTGTAATACCGCAAACTATGAGCTTCTGACAGGATCTGTTCCTTTAATTCATCAACATTCGGAACAAATAAACGACATTGGTATCTAAGTACACCATCTCCCCCTTAGGAGAAAGCCTCAACAGATTTCTTAAGCACCGCTTCCTTTAATTCTACCAAAATTGGATCAAGACTTTGCTTGACTTTCACATCCTCCCCAAAAGACGATTCAAAACCATTGTGAACCATAACACCACCTTTGGTGGAGTCTACTAATTGAACACCTAATCGAGCCACCCTATGACCAAATCGAACCAACTCCTTTTTTCATCTTCAATATGAGCAACACTACCCATGGATAAGCGACTAAGAGCATCTACTACCACATTAGCTTTATCGGGGTGATAAAGAAGACTAATGTCATAATCCTTTAATAACTCAAGCCACCTTCTTTGGCGAAGATTTAGATCTTTTTGATTAAATACTTATTGCAAACTCTTATGGTCGGTAAGCACATCAACATGAACTCAAATCTTTAAGGCAAAAACGACCGTCACTAATTCAAGGTCGTGAGTAGGATAATTCGTGTCATGTATATTAAGTTGCCTTGAGGCATTGGCAATAAATTTCTCATTTTGCATAAGCACACATCCTAGCCCAATTCTCGAGGCATCACAATAAACCACAAAACTGTATGTCCCTTATGGTAAGGTCAACACCGGAGCGGAAGTAGGTCTATCCTTCAATTCTTGAAATCTCTTCACACATGGTTCAGACCATATGAACTTGGTCTTCTTTTGAGTCAAAGCCGTCAAAGGAGAGGCAATTGAAGAAAATCCCTCAAAAATCTTATATAACAAACGGCCAAACCCAAGAAACTTCTAATATCTGAAGGAGTTAGAGGTCTAGGACAACTCTTGACCGCATCCGTCTTCTTAGGATCTACCTCGATACTCTTACTTGAAACAATATGACCAAGAAAAGCTACAGACATTAACCAAAATTCACATTTGCTAAACTTTGCAAAAAAGTAGTTGGTCATTCAGAATTTGCAACACGATCAACAAATGATCAATACGCTCATCCTCACTCCTTGAGTAGATCAAAATATCATCAATGAACTAAATCACAAACATGTGAAGGTATTGTCTAAGCACCCTATTCATCAAGTCCATAAATGCCGCCGAAGCATTAGTAAACCCAAATGACATTACTAAAAACTCATACTGACCATATCGTGTTTAAACGGCCGTCTTAGGAATGTCATCATCTTTAACCCTCAATTGGTGATAACCCGATCGAAGATCAATCTTAGAGAAATAACTTGCTCTTTGAAATTGGACAAATAAATCACTTATCTTTGGGAGAGGATACTTGTTCAACTTAGGATAGTCAATACACATACGAAGAGAACTATATTTTTTCTAACAAACAAAACTTTAGCATCCCATGGAGACATACTCAGTCGGATGAAACTCTTATCCAACAAATCTTTCAATTGTTCTTTCAACTCCTTTTATTCTACCGGAGCCATACAGTAAGGAGGAATAGAAATATGTTGTGTATCTGGGAGAAGGTCTGTAACGACACGGAAAATGATAGAGTGAAACTAGAGCCTCACATGTGAGTTGGAGTTGAGAACTTAATGAAATGATTATATTTGAATTTGACCCAAAAGTTCTTAAAAATGTGCTTCGAAAGTTACCGGAAACTTGTTTAGCTGTATATAAAAAGATCCGTTTCGTTTTTCGAAAATCCGACTTCATATTCTTGTTTAGGGGGTCAAATTGAGTGGGAAATGGGTCTAACCCAAATTTTAGAGCAACCGTATCAAAATCCGAAATTTCCAAGTGAAGCCTTTT